TAGAGATAATATTTTTTTATGGAAAAGAACTTTTTGTTCGCTTGCCTTTTCTACATGCATCACACACTTTGTCCTTCACAAACTTCAATTTAGGTAACCCTGTTACAAGCTCTTTAGAAATCAATCTGTTAAAATGATGCATATGAATATGAACTAATCTCCTATGCCATAACTAGGAATCATTTCCTTTAGCAATTAAACAACAATTTTCTGCAGAATTTGTATCTAACATATATATGTTGTTGACTCTCTTACCAGTGATTAATACCTGTTCTGAACCAGGTCTAAGTATTATACAATGTTCAAAGATGACTTTGTGACCCTTATCACAAAGCTAACTAATGCTAATCAAGTTATGCTTTACCCCATCAACATACAGTACACTGTTAATGATTCCAAATTCTGCATATTTAACATCACCCACTCCAAGAATTATGCTTTTGTTATTATCTCCATAAACAACAGTTCCACCACTTTTAAGTTTCAAATTGTGAAACTTGGAAATATCTCCATTCATGTGCCTTGAACAACCACCATTCAGTACCAAAGATTCTCAACTTGTTGTTCCTAAAAAGAGATTCAACATGGTTTTGGTACCTTTTGAAAATAATAGGGTCCATCTAAGTTATTTGTAATAATTTCTTGGGAACCCATTTCATTTTACCTTTAGGAACTGTATATCTTTTTATTTTGCAGGATTTAACTGAGTGCCCTTTTTTCATACAGTAAAAACATGTAATGAATGGTGTAGAAATTGGTTTTCTACACGAAAAATAATCTTTGAATGCCTTTGTTTTCTTACCCACAATAGGTCTGAAACCAATGCCTGCTCGATTAATGACTAACTTTTGTGACCCAAGAATAACATCAAGATTAGTCTTTCCTTGTGCAAACTTTGAAACAATTTTGATCAAATATACAATCTTCTTTTGTAACTCAGTACAGTTTTCAAAAGGTTCAATTTTATTATACATGCAGCCAGAATTGTTATGAATCATTTTAAGATATTCAGAATCGATTTTTTCTTCAAGAAGTTTATTTTCAAGTGTGTTTACTCTATCTTCTAATTAGTTATTCATACCTTTCAATCTATTATATTCTTTAGCAAGTTTCTTTGCTTCTTCATGCATTTCATTGAAAGCTTCTTGCAAAGAACTATAATTCATAAAATTATTAGAAGAGGTAGGACTTAAACTATTGGTTGGAGATTCTTGACCAGCCATCAAGCACATATTTGCTTCTTCTTCCTCTGAATTTTCGGTTGATGATGTATCATTATCATCCCAAGCAATGTAGAGTCTCTTTTTAATCTTTTCACTTTTCTTGTATAGGTCCTTGATCTTTTCAGGACATTCCATTTTTACATGCCCCTGTTTTCCATAACCATAACATTTGTAATTAAAAGAATTTGAATCTAGTTTTTTCACATGCCTTTTCTACACAGATTTATCTTTATTTCTTTTCTTGAGAAATCTATTAAATTTCTTGACTAGCTGACCAAGATTCTCACTTTCTTTTTCTGATTCTTCCTCTTTATCACTTGCTTTAAGAGCTATGCTCTTCACCTTCTTCTCTGAAATTTCCTACTCATTGAACCTGTTGATTTTCATCTCATGTTCCATGAGTTTTCCAAACAAAGAAGTTGTGGTCATGGTGGATAAATCCTTGGATTCTGATATTGTTGTGACCTTGGGCTGCCAAGGGCTGTCAAGACATTTTAGAACTTTAATATTCAATTTTTCTTTGTCAAATGTCTTACCAAGACCTATCAAATGCTTGATGATGTGTGTAAATATTTTATGAAAATTAGCGATGCTTTCTCCCGACTACATTTTGAACAACTCATACTCTTTTATGAGGGTGTGTTTTATGGCCCTTTTGACATCAGTTGTACCTTTATGAGTTACCTCAAGAATTTCCCACATTTCTTTGGCAGATTTGCAGTGAGAGACCCTAAAAAATTCAATGTAGACAAATCATGCTGAATTTTCTTCTTTTCATCATCATTCAATGTAGACCAATCTCTATTAGTAACTAATGGACCTAATTGAATAACATTCCAAATGTTCCTATCAATTGATTCAATAAATATTTTCATTCTAATCTTCTAAAATTGATAATTTGTACCACAAAACAGTGGAGGTCTATTGATAGATGTTCCCTTAGAAAAAGGTATTTCGTTTTCAGTCATAAAAAAACTTTGGGATTGAAAAACTTGAATAACTTTCAAGACCTAGCTCTGATACCAATTGTTAGAAATATAGGTTGAGATCAAGAGGGGGTGAATTGATATAAACAAATGCTTTTTACAACTTTTGAATACAAATTATAATTTTTAAAGATTGAAGAATCCAATTAATTCTTGAACCAATAACTAGCACTATAGAGATGAAAGAAAAGCAAAAATACCAAGTTTTATACTATTTCACCTAATCCACTGGACTACATCCAATTTTCAACCAAATTCCAATTAAGTTCCACTAAGTAGAATTCGTTTAATTACAAGAATAGATTGCAAACAGACAATCTACACCAAGAACTTTAACCCAGTTCTTGAACCTGTGATAACAACCAAAATTCTACCTGCTAAATCAGTGTCCACACTTCCAGACACTGAAAATATAATAAATCGAAAGAGAATTGAGAAACTAGAAGAAACTACAACAATCAAACTAGTATGTAGATGTAAAGATCTAACCACATAATGAGTTTCTTCAAAAAACAATAAAAAAGAGCCTCAAGAAAGATTGCTAAAGAATTCTAATGAGAAGAACAAGTTTCTCTTTTGGAAAAGATCTCTAAAGATTACTTGATTGATTTCTCAATGTGTTTTGAAACATTGCGGAAAATCTGCTTATATGGAGATTTTTCTAACTAGCCGATATGATTAATTGATTAATTCGCTCTATAATCGATTAAAACAACTTAACTTAAATGAAATTAACTTATGAAAATTCCTTTTAATCAATTAAAAGGTTCTACCAAATTTTCTCAAGATGTTTTAAGCTGATAAAAATGCAGTTTAATTGATTAAAATAATTTTAATAATTTTTCAAAGGTTTTTTAACCGATAAAAATGAGATTTAATCGATTAAAATTGTGATACATTTTTTTAAGTGTTTTTAATCGATTAATTCAAAGGTATATCAATTAAAATTATGACGAGTAAGTTTTTTAAAACTTTTAAAGTGATTTTAATCGATTATTTCAAAGATATATAGTTAAATTTCCGACGAAGTTTTTCTAAAAGTTCTTAAGTGATTTTAATTGATTATTTCAAATATATATAAGTTAAAATTCTAATAGAAGGTTTTCTCAAACTTCTTAAGTGAAATTAATTGATTAATTCGAAGATATATTAATTAAAACTGCGACAAAAAATGTTTTCACTTTGTTTAAGTGGTTTTAATTAATTATTTCAAAAATGTATCAATTAAAATTGCGATAGAAAGTGCTTTCAAGTTTTTTAAGTGATTTTAATCGATTATTTTGAAAATTGATCAGTTAAAACTACGACGGAAGAACATATTAATCGATTCAAATAATTTTTAACAGATTAAAAATACTTGAGACACTTTATACTCTTGTAAAATATAGAAACTCATACTATAAGAAAGGATAGATGATTAGACTTACTCAAGGTAGATGCAGACTCACTAATGGACTAATATAACATCTTCTATTTTTGACATCTTTTGACTTCATTAAATCTTCAAGACTACCAAAATTCTTATTTTTTTTATCACTTCACGTACCAACTATCATAACCATTCAAGTTTTTGTTATGGAGCACTCACATGTTATTATGCAACCCAATTTCTACTCGTCATTGATATTCTTTTTACTTTCTTCCTTCTTCCCGGATTTTGAAGCTCTTGATACCACTATTAGCAAAATGACCTAAACAAGTATTGAGAGAGGGAAGTGTATGGAGAGAGAAACACTAAATTAACTATGTATTCACAATGCAAAATGGTTCATATAGTTATTGACAAATACAAGTTAATTACGCTAACCAACTTAATTAAAATAATCATTTTACATATAATTGTTAATTATTGAATTACTATCTTACATCAATCACTTTTGAAATTTAATTTCCATGAAAATGATAAGTAACATATAATTGATGAAAAATAGTGGTGTTGAGATGCTAGTATCATTTGGATTTAAGTAAAATAAAATTTAATTCGAACGTGTTTAATTTGTTAAATGTTTATGATAAATTTAAATCAAATTAATTTGATTGGTTTGAAGAACGAATTTAAGATTAAAAATGCTACCAATACATTTTTTTATACATTCTTTTAAATATATGCTCTTTTAAAAGTTATATTTTTTAGAAAATTAAAAAAATCTGGGTCTATCACATCTTATTTAATAATTCTCTTATGATTTATAATAACTGCTTTCTGCGTTTAAATTATTAAGTTCATTGACTCAATTTGATTCAAACACCCATGAAAAGACCCGTAGTTGTAGTAAAGTTTAATGAATGGCCAAATGGTAAACCGGTTATCCACCATGAATGGAAGGTTCATTGATTTGTGAGGAAAGATAGCAGAAAGATCTTTAGCACAAGTCACGTTTTGCATTTAGCAACAAGTGTTACGCATGCATTTAAGTTAGAAGTGGCTCTTTAATTAAGTGGTTTCCAATGCATAGAACTGATAAAGTGTTCGCATATTCCATTTAGTTTTGTGGTTTACAAAGTTCAAAAGCCACAAAATGTGCCCCATTTTGAAGTCGGTGGTACGCGCATAATGCCACCTTACCAAATTTCCAAGCACAAGTTCTTGGTGGGCTTGACCTCTTTCCGAGTGGGAAATGTGCACAAAAACCTACTAATTAACAACACCTACCACACCACTACCAGTAATAAGACAAAACATGCAAATCATTTCATTATGCGACCAAAGAATTAAACAACCATCCGCCACTATAAATCATTAACCAATACAAAACAATTCAACCGTGACCTTCCCTCATAAATCCAAAGCATGATTTTATCTAAGCAATCTTCAGTTTCAATTTCAACACTCCACACTTTAACATTTTTTCTATCCCTTCTCTTAGTAGATTGCCAAATCCTTGAGACCCCATCACCACCACCACCCGATTCAATCCCACTAATCCCTGACCTTTTAAACTTCTTAGACCAGAGGGTGGCTCTGGTCTTCCCCATTGTTCAAACCTTCAAGAACACAATAACCTCAGACCCTTTAGGAATAACAACAACATGGGTTGGTCCAAATATATGCAACTACACAGGCTTCTACTGTGATAACCCACCAGACAACCTCACTGCCACAACCATTGCCTCAATTGATTTCAACGGCTTTCAACTGACCGCTCCAACACTTGATGGCTTCATCGACCAACTCCCTGACTTGGCTCTTTTCCATGCAAACAGCAACAAATTTTCGGGCACCGTATCACCAAAAATAGCAGGGCTCAAGTTCCTATACGAACTTGATTTAAGTAATAACTTGTTCTCCGGGGTATTCCCCACATCGGTAATCAACATCCCCACCTTGTCCTTTTTGGACATTAGGTACAACCTTTTCACTGGCACAGTGCCCCCACAAATTTTCATGCAAACATTAGACGTTCTTTTCCTCAACAACAACAACTTCATGCTCACACTGCCCAACAACCTAGGAGACACACCCGTCGTTTATCTCACGTTGGCCAACAACAAATTCACCGGCCCCATTCCCCGCAGCATTAGAAAAGCCTCGCCCACGTTGATCGAAGTGCTGCTTTTGAACAACCTTCTGACGGGTTGTCTTCCCTACGAAATCGGGTTCTTGGGAAACGTGACATTGTTCGATGTTGGTGGAAACCTCTTAACTGGGCCAATACCTTGGTCCTTTGGGTGCTTGAAGAAAGTGGAGCAGCTGAACCTGTCAAACAACTTTTTGTATGGACAGGTTCCGGAAGTGGTGTGTGCGCTGGGGAATTTGGCGAATCTTTCCTTGTCTTACAATTATTTTACGAAAGTGGGACCTTTGTGCAAGAGGCTGATTCAAAGAGGGGTTCTTGATGTGAGGAAGAACTGTATTATTGGTCTTCCGGATCAGAGACCAGCGAAGGAGTGCATGGCGTTTTTCTTAATTCCGAGGTCTTGTTTGCACCCTGCGTCTTTTAATATGATACCCTGTCAAATTCATTGGACGAAACCGCAAGAGAAAACTGAGAGGCATTTGCTTTCATATTCTGCACTTTCCAGAAATAGAGTGGTTTTCTGACTCAGAATTGTGTGGTGTGTACTGGGTATACATACTTTGATTTACATGCATACACAGAATGTAATGGGGTGAAGTAAGTAATATTAATAATAAATTCTTTACAACATTTTTCATTTTTATCACAGTGCTTATCTTATCATAGTTTTTTTTTTTCCTCAGCTAAATTGTAAGAGTTGTGAAAAAATTGTGTGGCGGGTTTACGGTGAAGTATATCAAAGACCCGTAAAAAAAAAAAAATACAGTAATCAGGGAATTGATCAGTAAGAATAAACTGAAACTATAAGTTGTCCTGTTTATTTTCTATCTTTTTAGTATTTCAATTTCAGATGGAATTTAATTATTTTTATTTTCTTTATTGATTTGATTTTTAGGTCATTTATAAAAGGAATAACTCACTAGTTTCTTATTTAAAAAAAATGTAAAATAAGAATTTATAATGTTACATTTTTAAAAAAAAACTTATTGATAATTTTACCTCATTAATTTTTTTTGATAAATTTTAAAAAATTCATTATTTTTCTTATTCTCTCTTTATTTATTTTGATTTGTTTATTTTTGTAAGAACATTTTTAATAAGAGTTGATGCTTAAATAAAAAATTAGTTGTTTAAAGTAACTTTCTATTAGAGAAATCATATGTAACATGATAAGTGTTTTATTTTTTTTAGTTGTTTCATCAAATAATTTACAAGAATAAGTAAATCAAAGTAATTGAGGAGAAAAAAATGAATTTTTTGAAATTTAGTAAGGAAACATTTAATGGAGTATAATCAACTATTAGTTGTTTAAAAATAATGTAGCATCATAAATATTTATTTTACACTTTTCAAAATAAGAAACAACTCATATAATAGTTGTTTCGATTAAAAATGTAGTAGGTTGCTTAATAAAGTAACTATTAAAAAAAATTAAACATTTATCATGTTACGTAGAATTCTTTTGATAAAATATTATTTTAAACAATTAATAATTTGTTTAAATATAAACAACTAAGAGTTTGTTTTGGTATAAAATAAGTAATGTTTAATTTTCCACATATATATATATATATATATATATATATATATATATATATATATATATATATATATATATCAATTGAACCAAATCTCAATTAAATATATATGTCAGATGTGCAAACATATATTCGAATTAAGTTTTTAGTTAAATTTAATTACTAGAGTATTAACTTTGTAATTAATTTCCAGTAAGCATAGAATTTGTGTTCAAAACATTGATTTTCATTTAATCTAACTAAGAGTCGAATTTCAATTAATTTCTCCAAATTTATAATTGTAACTTGACTTGTGATGAATTAACGTTTCATGTTATTCAATTGCAGAATTTTCATTGAAATGCAAAGAAAAACATCCAAGTAGACATACAAAAGAACTTTAAAAGTGATTGGTAGAAATTTGAAGTCATGCCATTTAATTTAAAAGTGTACAAAGAAAATGAATGTAAAAAATGCAAAGAAAATTAAACGCAAATAAAAAATATTGACACATATGATTCACTCTCTCACTTTTCTCTCATATGCTAGAAGGCACAATTAATATCTTGAAATGTTGTTTCCTGAATTGATGCGCAGGGTTTGCTGGCGCAATTGGTGTATAATACGAAGCAATGGGCATGAGAAGAAAATATAACAGATGAGTAGTGTTAGTGGCAAATCGAGAAAAGCAATCGAAAATGAAGAAAAGGAATGTGACTCGATAAGATTCAATCGAAGTCTAATTGGAAGAACGTAGCATATAGTATCGAGAAGTATAATCGAAAATTGAGTGAATATTAACCAAATACCTTTTGTCAAATAAAAAACTAAGTCATGAGACCAAGGTTAAAAAGGAATCGTAAGCAATTCGAAGTTCTCGAAAAACATATAATCGGGAGTAAAGGAAACCAATGTGGACATCGAAACCCTGGACAAACCACAGAAGAATAAGTCAAACGCACGTATAGAAAGCAGTTCTGGGACCATGGAAGGAGTTGAGGATCGTGAGAACGTGGGCAACTGTAGAAAAAGAAACCGTCATACACGAAAGAACGTGATAACAGTCTTATTAACTGTTCCTGGAAGGCTTAAAAGAGGTCCTATAAATAGAGCAAAGGAAAAGGAAAAAAGGGGGCAGAAATTGGCAGAGAACAGAATTAGTAGTGAAAAGTCTACCGGAGAAACGACGAACACCATGAAGCTTCTGGCAATCTGGATTTCCATGCTCACTGAGTACATATACCGTTTTCTTTATTTTCCTTGGTAATTTACTTTGATGCAACTTAAATTCAGCAATTTTATGTTTCTGTATTTTCGATTCCTTGTTATTTCGATTCATGCAATTTGAGTTTGTATTTGAATTCTCTAGGTCTTTTACATTAATGCAATTTCGATTTCCAGTCTTTTACTGCATTTTCGATTCAATTGCCTTTTACATTGTTACTGTTTAATTTCCTGGTCATTTACGTTGACGCACATTTCGATTTCTGGGGTTATTTATTTTATGCAATTTCGATTTCTTGTCATTTATAATTACGCTGTTCTCGATTTTTGTCATCTTACAATTAAGGAAAATTTGGGGTTCTTGCATTTTACATTTTCTTGCAATTTAACATTGCTTCTTGATTCGATACTTTTACTGCTTTCGATACTTTAAATCAAAAATACCAAAAACAGCATTTTCGATATTCTGTAATTTTCGATTCTCATACGTGTATTCGATTGAAAATCTAATTGCTAGCCTAAGTAAAAAGAACTTACGTGGTAGGATTTCGATTAAAGACCAAAATATCCTTAGAATCAAAATCGATCGAAATACCACCAGAAACAAAATGGCGCGCCAGGTAGGGGAAGTCTTGTGTTGAAAAATACAAAATTGGTTAGTTCGAAAGTGTATGAGATTAAGGAGTGGTAGAGTTGTAAGAATGAGTCAGAGTTCATCGAATAACCAAAATAATAATGAGGGTCTAAATAGTGCGCCTCCGCCAAACACTGGGGGGCAAGGGCACAATGGGAGTATGCCTGTAATATCGACAACTATGTCGATACCTGTGAGTAATGAACAAAATTCAGGCACTTTAGCAAATACCCAAGTAGGATCTAGTACGGCGGTACTAAACAGTACGCAAAATATGGGAAACCTTACAACAACATATGCAGGGCCATATGCGAGTGTAAGACCGCCTGGGTTTTCGCTCAATAATTTGAATGGGACTGGTACTTCATCGGTACATAGAATTCCGAGATATAATTTACGAATGCCGCAAAATTTTGGAGTCTCTCCAAATTTAGGGGTATCTCAAAACCTAACAATCCCCCAAAATTCAGGGAGTGGACAGAATGTAGGCACACAACAAATACCTCCAAATCTAGATCAGAGGGGAAACTTAGATCATGGGAGATATGCGTTCGATAGGGATTATCATCGATCCAATTTTGATACTATCGAAAATACTGGTACTGGGATATCCAGTAACTCATTAGGGATACTTAGACAACAAATGGATGAAAGTAATTTTGAGATGGTGAATATGTTATCACAACAATTGACTACAGTCTTAAACCCATTAGTCCAAAACACTACTGCTAGTTTCAAGATATTAGCAGATCAAATGTCACGTATCGGGGATGCATTGGCAATTCCTCGACAAACAAGGGGAGAAAATCATGTTAACCAAAATGCTAACATGAATCTATTGAGAAGAAATCGAAACAATGATCAACAAATGGGAAATGAGTACCAACATGTGAGGAATGACATTTATGGAAATTTGAACGAAGGATTTCAAAACATACATAATCAAAATAATATGCAAAACAATCACATGTTAGGACAACGAATGAATTTACAAGGGATGGAATTTAGACCACCCAATCAGACATATTTTGTGTCTCCCTTTCCGAATGCAATTCTCGAAACAGAATTGCCTCGAGGATATAAAGTACCCAAATTCACTAAATTTGCTGGAGAAGTTGGTGAATCGACAATCGAGCATGTGGCTCGATATCAGATTGAATGCGGAGATTTAGCGATGAGTGAAGAATTAAAGATGAAATATTTTCCTAGTTCTTTAACTAAGAATGCTTTTACTTGGTTTACTTCGTTACCTCCCAATTCGATATATAATTGGTTGCAATTAGAGAGGAATTTTCATGAACAATTCTTTAGAGGAGAAACTCAAGTAAGTCTCATCGACTTGATGAATATAAAGAGATACAATAATGAAAGCATAGATGATTATTTGAATCGATTTAGACAAATGAAATCGAGATGCTTTACTCAAATTCCTGAATATGAATTAGTCAGAATGGCATCTGCAGGTTTAGAATTCTCGATTAGGAAAAAGTTAGTCAATTTACCACTGAATGATATGGCTCAGTTAGCTGATAAAGTGAGAAGAGTAGAACAAATCGAATATGAAAAACAAAGATATAGGAAATTTGAGAAACCAATGAAGAAAGAAAGAATAGCATATATAAATGATGTATATGAAACAGATTCCACGACAGAAAATGATGTGGACGAGACTGTTGATGAGAAAGTAAACATAGCAGAGCTTAGAGTAGGAGCTCCGTATATCTGTAAAATGCTACAAAAGAATGAAGTAAAAGATAAGATGGCAAATCGAACATATACTTTCGATGTGACAAAAGCCGATAAAATTTTCGATATCTTACTGAAAGATAAACAGATTAAATTAAGTGATGATCATAAACTGCCTTCTGCAGGACAAAGGAATGGTCGAAAATATTGCAAATTTCATAATGTTTATGGACATTGGACTAACAATTGCATACATTTCAGGAACACGATCCAAGATGCGATCGACCAAGGAAGGCTGAAGTTCGAGGAAATGACAATGAAAGTTGACACGAGTCCATTCGAGGCTCAAGTTGGATACCTCGAATCCCAAACAGACATTACTGATGATGTCCGATTAACAAATTCGGCCTTTATAGGCATGGTCGATGTTACTGAAGACATTGATCCCAAACATGTTAGGATG